GACTCTGTTCTATAAGATGAGATTTAAGCCAAAGTTGCACCTTGGGAAAGTCAGATAGAACATGTCCATCTTAAGTCTTTTTGTTGTTTCTCCTTTCTTCAGGCTGGTACCTGGACTGATCCCAGAGGTGCACAGTGCCAGGTTGTAACAGTAAGGAGCGATCATGAGGTGAAGCCTCCCTATGCAAGCAGGAGCAGCAAACGAAAATTATAATATCCAGGGCCCTAGTGGCATCACTAATCTGCAAACCAGCCCTATATATTCCATCCTTCATGTTCTCTTGTATGATAAAACTGAATCACTACCTGAGAAGCCAGTAGTATACTAGATCTCTGCTGTTGGAGGTGAATGCATCCACAACACTTTTCTGGACCATTTTTATTTCCACAAAAGTCATGTATTGAAATCCTTATAGCTGTGTGGCTGTATTGGAGAGGGTCCTTCAAATTTTAATTAAGGTTAAAAAAGGTCATAAAGTTAGAACTTAGTGCAATAAGATTAGCATCCTTCAATAAAGCATCACCGGTGAGCTTATGCACTCTCTCTGTATGCATGAATCAAGGAAAGGTCATATGAAAACAGTGAGACATCACCTACTCTAGGCCAGGAGAAAGGGCCTCATCACACATCCAGTCTTAGACTTAGAACCTTAGTCTTAGACTTCTCAACCTCTATAACTGTAAGCAAATAAATTTCTTGCTGTATAAGACACCTACTTCATCATATTTTTATGGATGTCCAAGAAAACTAAGGCAATGCTCCATTGTTGGCTCTATTTAGAGATTCTGCATTCATGGATTCAAGCAACCACAGATTGAAAATATACAGAAAAAAAGATCTAGAAAGTTCCAGAGAGAAAACCTGGAAATTGCCACATGCATAACCCTATGTTGAATCTGTGCAAGAAGGGATGCCTAGGTCAACTCTACTAAAGTCTCCAGCTACTTCTCAGATCCTCAATCTCACAGGATATTTGAATCTTGTGACCTCCTCACTCCTGAGTTCACTTCTTATGTGATGTGATGCTTCATTTCTGTAAAAACACACATCCTAAAATACTCACTCCCAAAGAGGCTTCTAAAAAGTAATGAAGCGATCAAAGAAATCCTTCAAAGGCTGAGAGGGGGTGTGAAGTGGTACCTCTCAAAAAGATAAATATCTAGGTGTTGTGAAAATCAGTATGACAACATTGCCTCTGTATGAACATGTAAGGATGTTCTTCTTGTCATCATTTCCTAAACAATAGACTATAACAACAATGTAGCCATTATTTATTGTGTGTTAGGTATTATAAATGATGTACAAATCAGTAGAAGATACCCAAGGATGTACACAGGTTATATGCAAACACAATACCATTTTACCCAAGGAACTGGAGCATATGCATTTTGATTGGGGGGTGGGCTGAAATGAATTCCCCAGTGATACCTAGCAAAAGCTCTCTATGACATTTCACGATAAAATTTCCAGAATGAGAGCCAGAAGTGTCGACTGCCTCTAACAAGTAGTGTCCTGTGCTGTTTTCTCATTCTGTCTTCTTGGTTAATGTCACAATGTGGGGTTCATACTAGGAAATCTTTTAGATTCCTCTTAGCATAAGCATTTGGTGATTCTAGAACAATGTGAGTCAGCACTTTCATTATCTAGAGCCTCATGTCAAAACATTTTCCAAATTCCCAGTACTCAAAGTAGACATCTGCTTAACAGATTTTTTTTCAACAGCTTTTTCTTTCCCCAATCTGATTCCTTTTACAAGTGTATTACTGTAGGGAAAGAGAAACCATTTGTTGTGAAATCATTTAAAATTTATCTTGCCTACAGATTCATTTTTACCAATATTCACTTTGAGCATGAGTCCCTGAAAAGAAGGAAAGAAGACACCACCTCCAAACACAGCCAGCACATGGGAAAACAAGGCCACTTGCTGAAAGAGCTCTCTAGGTGAACCTGCACAATAGAAAGACTGCCCAACAGTGCAGGACGGACATCCAGGAGCAGCCAGCTGTCCTTCTACCCTTCCACATAGCTACTTGTAGCTCAGCAGAATTAACCCAACGCTATTACTAAGCTCTTAGTCTCCTTTTAATCCTGACTTTTATATCTTTCACATCATCAAACTTAAGCAAGTCAAAATAAATTTCACTTGGGGTCAAAAGAAAATCAGGGTATAGAGAAAAAAAAATGCCTTTCATTCAAAGGACCTGAGGACCTCTTGCAATAGTGTAATAATTTTTTTTAAATGGCTTTGGTCGTGAGAAACTAACCTGGGCGAGGTTTGGGCACATTAAAACTGTGATTGGGGGGTGAGTACCAGAACTGCACTGTGTCCAGTTTCTTTTTCTGTAAAGTGAAGAGGTTACTCTGGGAAGTCTCAGAGATTCTCATTATGGGTCATTGAGTCTAAGCCAGGTTTCCTGCAGCAGGGCAAGAAATGCTAACTCTACGTCACTTCGCATTACAGAGCATTCCTGAGACATATTTCACGTGGATTCAGACAACCCAAAGGAGTTTTCCCATGACCTTGCCTGAGCCCTCGCAACAGAAAGTTTTGTTCACAGCCCAGGTAGTGCTGCGTCATGGGGAGAAACAGGACTCTGGGACCGGGGAGGGCTAGGCTTGCATTCTGACGCCCCTGCATTCTGCCTGTATGACTTTATGGACATCAGTTAACTTCTCTGTGTTTTGGATCCCTTATCTGTGAGGTGTAGCTAATAGTAAGCTGGCCTTAAATTTGCTGTGAGACTTTAATTATTTTAATGTATGCAGATATTAAGATTTTCAAGCATTTGTGGCAGATAAGAGCTTGTTATTATTTATAACAAGTAACATAGCAGAACTTGCAATTATTTACTTAGGTAACATCACGAGCACTATGTGCTAGATGCCATAAAAATGCTGTTGTGTCATTATCTCCCCTTCACACACGATAAAACTGAAATGTGGAGAGGCGCTGCTTTTCCTCCATGCAGCAAATGAGAGAGTAAGGAATATAGCCCAGGCGGCCAGACCCAGGATCCATGGTCTCATTCAGTATGCTGTGGCAGAAGGAGACACTTGAGGATGAGCCTGGAAGGGTGAGTCAGGTGGGTCAGGGAGACTACGAAGAGGGCAACAGCCTGCATCTACGTGTGACACCGAGCAAGACAGAGTCAATGAAGTGCCAAGAACACAGCCAAGTAAATGCAACTGGTCATTTTATCTGTGCCTCAGGCCAGGTGCTCAGACTAAGCTTTACATATGATGTGATTACAAGGGCTGACACACACCCTTTCCCCAGTACCTGAAATTGCAGTTAGCAAGATGTTATTTTCCCCTTTCTCCTGCAAAAGAGAAATGATCCTGGGAGAGTTAATTCATTAAAGCCCTGGCATGCTAATCCCACTTGGATCCAGCTCCTCTGGAAAGCAGGAGGTAGCTGGAGGAATTAGGGTGCCGTGGAGATGAGGGGTCACAAGACACAGCAGTGCCTTAAAGGTAGAATTGTCAATCCTGCCAATGACTGGGTCCCAGGTGCTTTCTCTTGACTATCCTGAGGTCACCTGCAAATACTGTCTTGAAGGTGAATCACCCCTGCATTCTGTTATCTAAATAGAATTCTCTTCTGAAATTTCCCTTCATCTGCACTTAGGCTCTATTTCTCTATGAATTAATAGATTATATAATCTAATTAATAACTCATAAATTAGTTTGATTCCATGTCTCTTTTTCAATTTTAAATTAAATCATCATGACTTTTGCCAGTAAAACAAAGAAGTAAATGTTATCTAGGAGAAGCTTAAGATTACTGATCAAATATTTTAGACAAACCTGATCTGTGATGAATGAATCATTTGTAGGACTAGATCTCCTCTGAGGTTCCTTCCAATTCCAAGAGTGTTAAGCTGACAAGCTATATAGGCATTGTTAACGTAGCCCTTCCAGTGACATCTTGCCAACCTCTATGAATGCCAAATAATAGCCTCCAATAGTTCTGGCTCATTCCAGAGAGATAATGGAACAAATGGAGGAACTCAAATAACCCAGTCTCAGATTTTCCCACACCACCACAGGACATAGAAAGGAACATATTATGTCTGCTCTGATTTTGATCTGGGGAGAGTGTGCCCCTCAGACATTGTGCTAGTATCTCCTTTCCATTGTCCAGAACTAAACCAAATACTGTGTTGAGAGGTAGAGCTTTTGGCATGTATTAAGGTTTGATAAGGTCAGCACAGCAGAGTCCTCATGATTGAATTTTGATGGATTTAAAAGGGGAGGCAGAGACCACAGTATGCACACACTTTTATTCTGTCCATTGTCCTGTGATGCTCTGCATCTCCTCAGGACTCTGTCAGCAAGAAGAAAAGCAGTAAATGCAGGCTCTTGACCTTAGACTTCCAGAACCATGAGTCAAAATGAACTTCTTTCTTCTAACATTATTCAGCTTTAGGTATTTTTTTTACAGTAACTCAAAATGGACTAATACAGAAAACTCTATTAATCAATACGATTTCTTTGTTGTTCAGTGTCTCTGAGTATGCACAGGGCTAAACAGAGCTAACTGTGGGGAGGAGGCAAAGTAACAGAAGAAAGCCCATGCGACAGAGATAACCAGAGGTGTCTAGAAGAGTCAGACCTGCAACAGGACAACTAGGAATGTGTGCAGGATGCTAAAGTGCAGGAGAAAGGAAGGAGTGCCCACACCAATGTAAAACATAGGGTAAACTTCCCCCAACAAAGCATCTGCAGTATGCTTTAGAGATGCTGAGTCTTTTGATTGTGAGGGATTGTGGAGAACTGTGAAGTATCAGAACACAAGGGAATCAAAATCATAGCTTTTCCACGGCTCCTTGCAGCCTTTCTAAAATTGGAGTATTTATTGATCTTTGAAATTAACAAAAACAAGTAAGAGGAAATAGATAAACAAGAAAACGTGTGACAATTCCAAATACACACAAGTATATTGACCCATGGACCTATCTACATGTGTGATTTGTGAAAGGATTGAATTTAACTTATACAAATTTTATATGTACTTTAATGATAGAAAACAGTTTATTTTACTATATTTATTTCTCTATAACCTATCTCCTTCCTCATGGTCAATTGAATCTATCTGTTAGCAGTGCTTCCATCCAGGCCTTCATTATCTCTCTCATGACTATTGAAACACCCTGCGATGGGGTCTTCCCACGTTGCCTTTCCTCTCCAATCCACTTTAAAGCTAGGAATCCTAGTGACCTTAACTATAACTGGATCAGTTCACTTACTTCCTAGACCCTCTGAGAGAATGAAACTTCCAACAGAATAAAACCCCAATCACCTTCATGGCATGAAGTGTCCTGCAGCCGCCAGCCTCCCCTCCTCTCCAGCCTTACATCCTGTTACTCCGTCAGTTCATATTTGAAGCCACACTAGACTCTATTTTCATATGTGCAGGTTCTTTTCTTGCTGGGGCCTTTGCTCAGTGGCTTCCTCTGCCTTTTCCAGGACTAATACCATAAATCACCCAGTTCAATTCTCAGAGTTGCCCCACATTCGTGGAGATCCTCCCTGAATCTAACCTGTATAAAGTGGCTTCCAACTTGGCTCCCTCTCCCCACTCCTTATTTCCTTTCTCACACTGACAGTCACCTATGGATAAACATATAACCATGCATTTATCAGTGTGGCTTTTGGTTTAGTGCCCTTACATCTTATTCCTATGTATGTTTTCTGAAGGTCAGAGTCATGCCTATATCACCATAGTCTGTCAGGGTCAGCGCAGTACCTAAGCAATATATCAACTCAACAAACATGAATGGATGCACAAATTCACTCACAAGTAATTTTTTATCATTTGAAGCAGTGATATAAAGATAGTCTGCCTAATAAACTCTTTGACCTATTACTGTGTGATTGTACAGTCATTCCTACTTATCATGGCTAATTGGATCCAGGATCCTCTGTGCACTCTAAAATGCAAAAATACATAAATCCTTTATGCAAACCAGTTTGTTGTTTGCATATAACTTATACATATCCTGCTGTGTATACTACTTATAAGAAATACCCAGCATGATGTAAAAATCTATGTACATGGTTATCACAATGTATTATCTAGCCTATAATGACAAGTTATAATTTTTAAAAAATATTTTCAACCCAAGGATGTGGAATGCATGGATATGAAGAGCCAACTCAATTAGACTTTAGATGTGTGTCACTGCCTTTGTACAGTCTCTGCAAGTGGCAGTATATCCTTGCAGACTTTTGACATTTATATACAAAATATCATTTTTGCAAAATTAATCATAATAAACCCTTAGAGACATTAGCGGGTATGATGTCTGAAACTCTTGTTTCATGTCTGATACCACACATGACCTTAGGCAAAAGGCCAAGAAGTGATTCATTTCATATTTGAGGGTCAGAAAATTTTAAAAACCTGCTAAAGGACACAAAGGAAATTAGTGACAGTATTACACCGGAACCCAGGGCTCCTCATTTTGGAGGTAACTCTTTTCCAGCACTTTAGCACATAAAGTGCTTTGAGCTATTATTCAGGATTCCACTCAAAAAGAGAAATAAGAGGGAAGAAACAGGCTTGAAGTCTGCCTTAGGATTAAAACATTCTGGGACAGTACAAATTCATCTTCAGCCACTGCTTGATGAAATAATCAATAAAATGTGTGTGAGCCCTTAGTTCCCTACTCTTAGATATGAAATAGGCTCTTGTAGAGGTGTACAGTTTAAGATTTCTAACTCCTGAGATATGCAATGGTTTAACAACCATTGTGGAGAAACTTTCTTCCAGGGTCAGAAATTAGGCCTTGGAAGACATGGAGCCTCCTAGAATCTTCAGTTTATTATAGTTAGGAGAACTAGAGAATGGCAATAATGTAAGTCCAGTTAATAGCCAATAATGTTAATTCCACTGTAAGAAAATTATGTTCCAAGGAAATCCATGATACTGTAATAGTAAATAAACTATTCTGTATATGTTTATACTTTCCTCTTAAAACTATAAGGAGCTTCAAGGAAAATCTTGCCCTAAAGGGTTATCATTCTGTACCATAATGCTAAAGCCAAGCTCCATTAAAATCTTGTGTTTTCTAACATTGAACTTCTTGGAAATAATATTCTCTAGATTCATCTTCTGGATATACCATATAATTTTATTATCAATAAAATATGATAAAGGGCAAGTTCACTGAGTTGAAACAACATTGTTACAAAGGTTCCTTGAAATCTTAGCACTGTATTGAGCTCTAATTACCAAGATGCATTAAATAATAATGCTTTAAAACATCAAGTCAGTCATTTGACCAGTTCCCAACTATTTGCCTGCATTTCCTCTCCGCTGCTTAACATCCACCTACTTCTGCTAAGAAATGTTATTTTACTGTGTACTTTCAGAAAGAACATGAATAAGTTATAAGAACATTGGCTGAAACAATTCCTCAAAAGTTATTTTTCTTTTTCAAAGAGGAAGAAAGACGGGAGAGAGAGAGACAGAGAGAGAGAGAGAGAGAGAGAGAGAGAGAGAGAGAGAGAGAGAGAGAGAGACTGTACTGCTGTACTGTGCTGGTTCTCAGTGATTCAGTTTCAGTGATCATCTCATGCATATCTTGGAGAATGAGGCTGAAAATCTGCACTAGAATTTTTGTTTCTATAATTACCTTGTTATAGCTAAAACATCTCAAATCTTAGTCTGATGGCCAAAAACATTTCGATTGCCAAAGGAATACCTTTGGTCTGAGCGATTGTTTGTTATGGACTTAAGAAAAGAAAAATAACAAAACAAAACAAACACAAAACTTGGTATTTTCTACTTTAGCCTTAGGAGTCGAGGCTCAGGCCAAACCATGATTCTGAACTGATACCTGAGTCCACTAGGGAGTCATGCCCCCTACTCCCACAAAATGCGGAGAGCATATAGGGTGCTTTCCACTGCAGAACAGATCCCCGCAATGTGGAGAGCTTAGAGCCACAGAGGGATTGCGAGGGGCAGTGTTAGGTACCTTTAGCAGCACACAGCTGTCGTCAGAACATGACTTTTTACCTCCAGTAGGCACAGAACAGCCTCACTTGCCTAAGAACTCAGCTTGAAGCTTAGTTCAAGGTGAGCCAGAGGTCACAAATCTGTGCCATTACTCAAAGTTATCTTTTGAATCCTCTCTCTGTGGACTCTAGTAACGCCTCTGAGGGAGACTTGTGGCTCTGTCTCACCCAGAAATTCTTCACAGCAGGCTTCACACAGGACAGATGCCTGCTGGTGTGTTATAGAATAATTGAAATTGATTTCCTTGCCACAAACACCCTCATCTACACACATGGGAATCCTTTGTCTTATTTAATGAAACACAGCACATCAAGAAGAGACCATGTATCCTCTGTAATAAGTCTCCCCTACTTTGAAACCAGTCATTATTTTGAGGTTGCTTCCTGCCCGTGTATCTTATGTCCTATGCAGTGCAAGCTCCAGGAACACAAAGATGTTACATTTTTATGGCTGATTGGTTAAATATTAAAACAATGAAAAAAGAATACTTTCAGAAAATGCCTAAAACTTTAAACACCAAAATAAATTAAAAAGAAATCTTTTCTCTCAAATCTGCAATTTCTAGAACTGTGTCCTCACTCCTTGAAATATTACATCTGCTTGAAAATATCAGATGACAAAAAGTTTACAAGGATATTTATTCTGAAAATGTATTTGATTTCTGAAGAACATGCCTAAAGACACAAGAGCAGTGGTGGCAAACCTGTGGCATATGTGTTGCTTCTCTTTTAAGACAAAAGATGTTAGTGTAGAGTTGTTTTTTTCTAAACAAACCTCAGTATTCAGGTTTAATTGCAGTGTTGGTTCTTTGTGATGAATAAGTGCATTTGGTTTTGCAGCAATTTGAGCGCTCAGTCTATAAAAGATTTGCCATCACCACTAGGATAACAAAAGAGAATTGTACCATTTAATAGCTCAGGCCGCTTACAGATTTTAACATGGTCTGGTTTTACAATGGAAATATGAGGGTTAGCCAAAGATGCTGGGATGGAAGAAGGGAGTGGCCAGACAGAATGAAAATAGGACAATCCTGTGCATTTTCATTTTTAGAAAAAAAAAACCTCCATTATACTATTTTTATTAGATTAATTTTGTAGCCAACCTCACACATTCACTGTGACTGAAATTCAAAATGATATTTCTGAAAATTTTCCAAATTTTTTTTCTCAAAAAGCTTTAAGTTTGCATAGCAAATTTAAAACTCACATAGCATTTCACGTACTGTGGAGGGCTGAAGAGCGTGGTCTCTAGGGACGTGGACTCAAACCACAGCTGTGTGTTCTATTAGCCTTATGCTTGGTGAAATAGAACTTCCATGCCACATATCCCTCATGTGAAAGTCAGGGCTAATAGCACTAGCTACCTCAGAGGTCTGTGGTGTGGAATTAAACAAGGTAATATATGGAAGCATATCTCTCATACTTGCTACATGCTGAGCCCTCTTGTTGAACGTCTCCAGCTATTATCCTTGCAGTGGATTCTATTTCTTGCATCAGGCCAGAACAGAATATACTATTCCATGCATCTTTTTCTACAATGTGACATTATCCCTCCTACATCAAAAAACAGAGTGTTTCTTCCCTCTGGATCATGGTGATCCTGTGATTATGACCAAAGTGACCCTGGATGACTTCTAAAGCCAAGTAAAAAATATGTTCCCATTTTGACTGGATACCTAGAGATATTTGGCCCTGGCCAACAGCTTCCATGTCATATGGAAGTCAAGCAGCAAACACAGAGACTATGTGCAGCTATCCCAGCTACTGCCTGAAGTCCTAGCTGACTGCTGGCTCTAGTCACTAGACAGGTACATAAATCAATTCCTTGAGCAAAGAAATGCTCAGCTACTGGGCTACCCCAGCTCCTGTGGGGTAGAGCAGACCTGCTGTCTGCCCTGAGTTCTGTCCAAATTACAGAGTCATGAGAAAAGTGAATGTGATACCTTCAAGTCCCTTGTTTTGAGGGTGGTTTGTTACATATCAATAGACTAC